AAATCTGGGAAGTTTGTCTTCAAAACAGTTAGATTTGAATCAAGCAGTCGTGAAATCAAAAGCCAGAAATTCATGCCACACAAATTCGGGAAAAGTTTCGGCAAAGCTGAATAAATTGGAAATAATATATTTTAAACACACACAGTAAATACATTGAAACTATAATTGGAAACTTCAATTATTATAAACAGCGTTATGAATACCTTACTATTCATGTTAAACATACGAACATGCTGTAAAAAGTTTAATAAAATGTTAAGATTTAATTATAACTAATTTTATACATATATGTTCTCTTATTGCACTGGTCTACATTTATGAGCTAATTAATGAAAGAATCGTATTTTTAACCAAATTATGTACAATAGCTGAAATTTACTTTTATCTCTTTTATGAAGTGATTCATTGTATATTCACAGTTTTTGACGTAAGTAGCTTCTTCCACCTTCAGTTCTCAACTCAGGGACTCATCTTATTTAGGTGAGCAAATGCGTCCTGATTCCCAGGTACCCAGGGATAGGATAACCCTTCCATTCTACCCTGAAGTCAAGCTTCTGCCTTCCCTTCCACGACGCCAAGCGAAGGGGAGATCTCCCCTTGAGAATCTGTTTCATATCTGTCTGCTTAATGGGGAGCTAAAAGTCCCACGTTTTAACAGTGGGTGACTACCCTTTATACGGGTTGTGTACTGTGTCCTCGTTACATCAGCTAGTTTGGTAACTTAGTCACTAAAGTATAATCTGCTAGGGTTCAAACGAAAGGGTCATTCTTTTGGGTTTGGTTTTAAGATTAGTCAACGTTATATGATATTTCTGAAAGCAAGTGCATTTAAATTTAAAAAATAATGTACTTAGGTTTCATTTTATTGCTTTGAATGCCAATTATATTTGTTAGTTAAGTTGTAATTAATTTTTTTCTGACCTAGGGTAACTTTGCACAGGAAAATAGTATACTTTAGATCATAGAAATTTCGGTGCAATGCAATCTCACTTGGTTTTTAATTTATTTTTGTATTAAATAATAATGAGAACAATGTTTGCTTTTGCTTCAGATATGCCCAGGGTGTATTAATGGAAGTTAGGGACTTGTAAGAATACGGATTTCTCTCCAGAGACCTTAGAAGCTTGATTAGACATTTCACAAGGTTAAGATATTCTTCAAGAGGAAGAAATGTTTGTATTCTTATTTGAAGAAATGTCTAAATGTTTGTATTCTTACATATAAAATGTAATTTTTTTTTTTGCTCTTTCTTTTTCAATAAAGTTTCACGCATACCCAACCAACCGCCAGGGAGCCGTCCTGGCTCCACGCTCGGGGTATGCTATGGTGTTATGTAACTAGTATAGATCTCAAATTGATAATAAACGTTTATCTTGCTAAGAAAATGTGGTAATAGTAGATATATTAATAACACACCCGGCAATAATTTGATAAAAATATTTCTAAAACGTCATCCTGATTTCACCGGTTACAATGGCATAACATTGAAAATTATAATCAAATATTTATAAAATTTATTTTTCTGGAATATTTGCACTCAGATATTCAATAAATATATCTGACATTGTACACAGTGAGTTTGGTATAGAAATATACTGAAAAAAATAACTGGTGCAAAGGATTCCAATCTATGAGCTAACTTTGCACCACAGTTTCACAAAAATATAATTTATTATTAAACTTCTATGTGATCGAAAGTTTGATAAAAAACGTTTCTAAAGTAATCACTTAACTAAGAAAAAAATCAGAAAAGCTTTTCTTTTAGAGAAATACCAGCAACTTTTCTCGAAATGCTCTCGGAAGACATGAAAATTGGGGAAAATTAATCCCATTTTCCGATATATCAAAGAATAGTTGTTCTTTGATTCCTGTGTAGTAGAAAATGTATATCACTTTTAAATGGTTTTCGAGGAAGAATTTTTCACAAATAAACCTATTTTTATCATAAAATATTGATTTTTATCCGTGAGTACAGCCATCCTTAAGTATAATAATCTCCCATATATTTTTACCATTCTGTTTACATGTTTAAATATTCATTTCTTTATATTGCTCTTACTAGTCATGTATGCATATTCTATAGCAACGGATTCGGAAATCCTCCGCTCTCTTGCGCATGCGCCGGGCAGAGTTATTTTCGTCAAAATAGGGGGAAAGTGAATTGCGAATTGAAGAAGATGAATGGAAGAATGCAAGGGTGATGCTTACATTTTACTGAGCGTAATCTAACAACCCAGATAGCAATTTTAGCTTGCAGCACGCTTGCCACAAATTTGTCATGACAAAAGTACAAGTTTGCCACAAATTTGTCATGACAAGAGTGCAAGCTTGCAGTAAGTTTGCAGCAAGTTAACGAAAGCTCCGAAGTCACCATGAAACAAACTTGCAGCAAGCTTGCCACAAGCTTGCCGTGCAAACATATTGCAAATTATAGCAAAAGCAGAGAACGAAACACAGCCCGGGATAGGACTCGCGACCTCCCGATTCCGAAGCGGAGACGCTAACCATTAAGCCAGTTGAACTCTGAGAGGAGAAGATAGATTTCGCTAATACATCGTTTGATTCGATTCGTATACGATTTATTTTTAACTATTTTCTGGATTTCATTAATTTTTTGAGTTGAGAATATGATTTGAAGTCAAAGAGAGAGCGATTTACGCTAATAACTACGTTTTGCTAGTAGAATAAATTATGAAATTAGAGTTCAAAAGTAATTACTTTAAAATGGGACAAAATGTCTAGTTATTATTGTTCAACAAACACTGACTGTTTTTTAGATTTAATTTTGTTTATAAACGTTAAAATTTCAACATTAAGAAAAAGGCGATATAGTTTTCTTTAAAGTGAGAGTGATATATTTAGTAAAAAGATGGAAAATGTTTCAAAATTTTTTTTTATAAAAAAGTTATTTTTTTCACATATTATCATTGATTTATTGAATTAATAAAAAAGAATTACGGTCTAGGAGATGCTATTAAAAATCGGATGTTTTTTAAAACAGAGACAAAGATAATTATCTCTTTATTGTGCTATCTTTTCAGGAAGCTTGTTTTGCAAAATTGCAGCAAGTTTGATTTGCAAAGGAGGTGGCGCTATTTGTCACATCGAACTTGCTACAAGTTCGATTCAAGTTTGACGCGTCAAATTTTGCCATGACAAGTCAAAATCAAACTTGCTACAAACTTACGTGCTATCTGGGAAAGAACTTCGGAAATGCGCTCATATGACTCATTACCTGACACCTCTTTCCGGTGTAAAATCGTCCAAAAGTGGTAGTCTCGGAATCCGTTGCTGAACAGCAGGTCACTTCACTGAAAATATAGAGAGAGCTGCTTGTTTGAGATTCTTCTGCATTAAGTTTGGAATAGATCGATTCATTAAAATGCTTTTTCCGAAGTGCAACGAACTACATTAATACGGGATGAAGTTGAGTTTCTGAATTCGTGTCGTTCTTCATTATCACTATGCATACATTTTGCTAATGCCATAACCCGTTGCTTGTTATTATTCAGGAAATGTCATGGCTTGACTTTTCTGCGTATTGAGATATTTGTTAAAATGTTATTCTTTACACATAATCAATAGCCAAGCGAGATGCGTATCATTAGCGAAATATTTTAATGGTCAGTCGTACCCATAGGGTGAATAATATTACTGTATAGAGACAGAGTCTCTAAATTTTAGTGTTGTTGAAACAAAGTTATTCTTTAAACATTGAATATATTTATGAATGGATAAACCGGTTTAAAATGTTACAAAACGAAAAAAAAAATCGACAGTTGTTTGTCTGCGAAACGGCTGCTTGGATTGAGGGCCGTAGACTTATTTACCTTACTCAACTGTGACTTTCTGTGACTAAAGTAGCTCTATGTGACTGCAACTCTATAGTCTATAGTGACTATTAGTCTAGTGTGACAATGTAACTCTAACTATGTAATATTGCTCGTGATTTTCACTAACTTTGCAACTCGACTGTGACTAAACCGTAATTACAAATTCTAAAATTCTTTTTGCAATGCTTAATGTAAACCTTTCCCTGTTAAATCAAACTAAAACCAACTCACAATGTTATTCGTTTGCGGAGCTATAAGCGTTTAACTTTAGCACCAAAAGCGTCATAATTTTTTCCTTTCCCTACACACCATTAGACCACAATGGAGCGAGCTTTTAAAGGTTTGGTACTAAATCAAATAATTTCAGTCAGGAACGAAATCGATGACAGCAAAATTGAAAACAAATGAAATAAACGGCTGAACACTTCTATTGAATACTGATGCAAATCATATGCATTAGAACATATTCTAAATCTCTTTGCACACACATACACACAAACACACACACAAAAATACACACACCTCCTGGGACTGATCTCGTTTAAAATTGCATCATTCTTTCTAATTATTTGGAAATATTATTTTTCCTCTAATTCTAGTTGTTCTGACATATTCTTTGTAATTCACATTTTAATGAATAGCAAAATTCAACAAAGCTGGCACAGAATAGTATAATACCATTCGTAGTAATATTTTTAACCCAACATATCGTGAAAATAACTTTTAGATTATAACATAATTTATTTCTATAAACATTTCAGTCCTTTAAATTAAAATAATTATAGAATAATATCAGTATAACTTTCTTTAAAAAAGAGTGCTCATCGTATCGTAACATAAAAAGTTTCATATCTTGCACTCTATTAAAACAAAGTTCTGTTCATTTTCCCTCCTCTTTTGACAGTCATTGACACGATTTCAAGGCCTTACACCTAAATATTGGTATACCTGCTGCACATGCGTAATTACAAAATTTTTTTTCTAAAATGTACTAACTAGAAAGAATAATAACGTATACCGTCTTTCGGCTTGGTTTAGTTATATTAACATCCCGTTTTGAAGCAACACGAGGTCTATTTTGCGACAGGCCTCGTAGTTTTCAGCCGCGGTCAGATGACGAGAGCCACAACTGAGCTAGCTCCCCGTCTCTAAACTTCAGTCCGACATTGACGGCCATACCATGCTGAAAACGCCAGTTTTCGTTTCATCACCTCAGTTAAGCAGAATTGGGTGCGATCAGCACTTGGAAGGGTTACTACCTGGGAACACCGAGTGCCGTTGGAATGTAAAATACCTCGTCCATTCCTGTTGACTCTAAGCCTATGGGTGAGTCGATAGAGAGGGTTGTGGAAGCTACACTAACGGGAGGGCGTTTGGGTCCCTATATATGATTTAGCGTCTAACAGCCCCACATACACGGTAGGAATTCAGTGGAATCGAGTTTCGAACCTGGTAGTCTTTGGCCCTGAAACCTTCACTTTATCACTAGGCCACCGCGGCCAAGGGCGTTTTTCAGATTAAATTATCACATTATTTGTTGAATGAAGTTTTTTCGTGTGACGTAACTGTCACTGGAATCTAAGCCTATGGGTGAGTCGATGGAGTGGGCTGTGGGCACCACACCAACGGGATTACGTTTGAGTGCATGGGGATGACTTAGCATGCAACAGGCCCACATACACGGTAGGTATTCAGTGGAATCGGGTTTCGAATCTGGTACTCTTTGACCTAGATTATATGCATTCTAGAATATTCTACAATTTATCACATTATCAGCCATACAACTAGCATCTGAATTCAGTCTTTGAATTAAATATTTATCCGAAAAATTTAAAAAAGATAACGACTCCAAATTTCAAAAATGTGAAGTTTCGGACTTAAGAAAGCAGGAAAAGACTTGGAATTTCGTATTTATCCAGACAACGTTCACATTGGCAGGTAATTGTTGATTGAAAGCACTTTTCGAGCTTTTAAAGATGTGCCTAATACGGAAGAATAAAGTATTCACTTCTGCTTCATTTGCAGTTGTTTTTACAGATATAACATCGTGTTTTAAACTTCATACTTCTTGCTCAATCTTCACAGCAGAGATCAGAGCAGTTTTGCATATATTGTCAGTGATTTTAAACAGACCTAAAGGATGTTACATCATTTACATAGATTCACTAAGGTTTTGCAGTCTTTAAAATACTTTCTTAATAATACTTTCATTATCATAGTCATCCCTTGATTTTTAAGGTTTTATAATTTTACTACAGACTTTCATCTCAAGGTTTTATTGTTTTGTTCTGTTGAATCCCTGCTCATGCGGGAATATATGGAAATGAACAAGCTGACAAGGCTGCTAAATCAGGCTCTAAATTTTTAGACGCACCTTTATCTGCGGTTGATTTGAAGATTCAAATTTCAAATCAATAGAAGTCTTTACATCAATTGACAAACTGTGTGGATTTTGAAACTCGAAATAAACTGCATGGCACGAAACCTATCATAGAACACTGGGCTTCTTCAAACAATCTGAAAAATGATACAATTTTAACCCGTCTATTATGTTGTGCGGATAATAATGTCAGCTTTATATATAATTTCATTTTTATACTTGTTTTCTGAATAAATATTTATTTCATTTTATCATGTTGTATACTATTTTGAAGTGCAGAGTTTACTCTATATTTCTCTGCTCTTGGTTTTATTTTAATTATTGTTTTATGTCCCTTAGTATTTGAAGAATTCATTATAGAAAAGAAGCGTTTGTGAGAGACATTCTTGTACAAGTTCAAACCCTGCTATAAAGTAACAGAAGCGAGTCATATATCTTCAACATCGCATTTGCGAACCACAAATAAACTTATGCGGCAACGCCGTTGTCAAAAATTTTTGAAAAGAGATGAGAGTCGTTAAGATAATAAAGATTTCTAACGTCCATTGCCAGTTAACAACGAATGATTGAAGGTATTGATAAACGCAGTTCCTATCTTGTTTCTCTGCTCTTAATTTTTTTATTATTGTTTAATGTTCCTTATTATTTGAAGAATTCCTTCTAGATAAGAAGCGCTTGTGAGAGACATTCTTGTACAAGTTCAAACTCTGCCATAAAGTAGCAGAAGCGAGTCATACTTTCAACAGCGCATTCGAACAGCGAACCACAAATAAACTTGTGATTCAATGGTGTTGTCAAAACTTTTCGAAAAGAGATGAGAGCCATGAAGATAATGAAGTTTGCTAACGTCCATGGCAGTTAACAACGACGGATTGAAGGTATTAATGGACGCAGTTCCTCTCACCACTATTCGAGAGCTTGCTGTAAAGTCAACCTCAATTCATCCAATAGTTATGGACTATTTCAGGCAATTTTGAAAACAAACAAAAACAGCTCGACAAAAGAGTGCCACGTGAACTGAAAGAAAATGAAAAAGATCGTCGCGATGAAGTGTGTTCAGCGCTTCGTTTTGCGACAAGAGTGATCCACTCTGCGATCGCATAGTGACATATGATAAAAAAATGTATTTTATACTACAATCGGCGATGATCAGCAGAATGGCTGGACCACGGCAAAGCTTCATAACACTTGCCAAAGCCAAAGATGCACCAAAGGAAGAATATGGCGATGGCATGGTAGTCGTAAGCTGGTCTGATTCATTTCAAAATCCTGAATCCAGTGGAAACCATCGCGACAGATAAGCATTGTCAAGAAATCCATGAAATGAACCGTAAACTGTAGCACATGCTTCCGGCATTGGTGAAAATAAGAGGTCCCATTCTTCCGCACAACAATGTCCGGCTACATGTAATACAAATGACGCTGTAAAAACTCAATAAATTAGTCTACGAAACTTTGCTTCACCGACCATACTCACCAGACCTCTCGCCAATCGAATACCACTTTTTTAAGCATCTCTGCCCCTTCATGAAAGAGAAATCCTACAACAACCGAAGTGCTGTTGAAAATGACTTCCGAGAGTTTATCGATTCCAGGATGTTGGAATTCTAAGTTAACGGAGTATATAAACTCGGTTCTGGTTGGCAAATATACATTAGTTGTAATGGTTCTAATTTTGATTAAATCTCTTTACTCTGAGATGAGAAATATACGTTTAAAGTTGACGGTTGAAAACCGACATTATTTTCCAAACAACCTAATACGTCTAACACAAGATTCACACACCAATACCTTTTACTTTACAAACAAATGCCTATTTGCTCCCGTTGTAATTGTGGCGCAACAGTTTTACGCATTCTTTTCGAATGCCCACATTTTAATGTCCAGCGGTTATTTCACTTCTAGGCAACCCTAGAGACGGTGAAAATGTTGCTTGGCAAAAACCTACATGTTGGCCTTTTTCTATTTAAAGTCCATAGGATGTCATACCCTTGCTTAGAAGCTACTTTTGTTTTATATTGTTCTATATATTTCACTATCACTTTACTTTTTGAGTACATTGAATCATTTTACTTCGTACAAGTTTAAA